AGGTGTACACACTGGCATTTGCTCGGAGTACACCAGCACTGCCCTTCAAAGATGAAGGCTCCAGCACATTGAAGTCAACAAATACTTACTGATTTTTCATGATGCCAAGAATGACGAGGGGGACATAAGTGAGCCAGACTGAGCCACTGACTTTGCAAAGTTCACCACACTGATACCCAGTGGTGTGGTTGGCACATGGTTGTTCTCCAGTAATATCTGTTGTTGTATAGCAGGGTGTGATAAGTACAACAGCAAAGGCAGGAAAAAGCCTTTTAGAAGTGGATAATCGTTGAGATGGCAATATTAATTCTAACAGGGATGTGATCCAGAAAGGTTTTTTTGACAAGCTGAAATCTGAGCCAGGGGGAAAAACGCTCTAGCACAAGTTTAGTCCCATGAATGGATGTGCTCGATTTCCAACCACCAGATGTATCCTCGTATCCCAGCTGTCCATTCTACATATGAAACAAATTTAGACAGTTCAACTTTATCAATTGCTTATCTTGGAAGGTTTTCTGATTTTAGTTGGATAAAAATTGATGTTCAGGGAAGTTTTCACTAAATATCACATATTCTGCCTATTAAGTAATAAGTTCTAAAACAGAATACCAGATGAAAGGCATTTGAGAACTAGGATCAAAATTGCTTTCCACTGCATGTATGTATAATTTCTTGATGAGGCAAGGCAATGTTTGACATAGTTTCCTGTGGTCTTTCGAATTTACTTTTGCAGCCCACACAGCCCTGCTATTTATTATTTCACATTTAGTTTGCTGTCAGTAATGAGAAAGACTTAAAGATAACAAGATGAATAGTTGGAGTTATAGAAGACTTGGTTTCATGTCTAAGCCAGTAATAACCTGTAGCACAAGCTGGAAAATCTAAATAACAAGAGTTAACAAGGGGAAAATCAGCAGTCATGTGGTTTTAACTCAGTGACCGTTGCTGAGAAAACAACATAACCACCCATTGGCATCGCGTTTTATCATTCGTCATCAGGCCTAGCAGAAGGCATATTGTGTAAATATAGACAACAGAGGAGGGGGTCCAATTGGCAATTGTCCCTCAACCTATTATGCATGGCAGTGAAAAACCTAAATGGATTTTAATGCTCCAGACACTCCATCTTTGTCGTATATTTTAACAAAAGACAGCCTCTAGTTCCAAGCATACCAAGTATGTTTTCATAATTTTTGTCTCAGTGTGCAATTTTTATAATAAGGCAGGTGGTTATAAATAACACTCTAGGGTAGACTGATATCCATAATGTTTTGACAATATTTGTCAAAAGTATTATTCCTATCACATGAGATATTTAAAATATTATTCTCACTCTGTTATAGGAGTGACTTTTATTTAAGCATAAAAAAGAAACATGGTTAAATTCAGGAAATTCTTCTAAAGGGACATGATAATTTTATTGGGATATTTGATATTCTCCTTTGGAGATCCAAACCCAATGCTGAGTTTATGAACGAAAAAGACAAACCAGCATCGACTATAAACAACTACACTAATTAGTGCACAGTCTCTGTTTCTTTATTGCATAAAATAAGATAAACATGATAGGTAATTAGAAAGGACTGGGAAGTTGAGAATGTGTGAGGTCCCTTTGTTAAAGGTTCTAAATGGAGAAAATAAAGCTACAATGCTTTTGAATTTTTTAACAGTTTCCATGGCAATCATTCCTCAAAATATGTAAAGAGACATTGAGAATACTAGAAAGGACATGAAAGATTGCTGTGAATAGCATCTTGAGTCTAATCCCTGAGACATCTGCAGTGGTGTGTGCTCACTCCTCCCACCCACTTTGCCTTCTAGCTGTGACACACACAGGCACACACACATGCTGCAAGATAAGTGTGTACAGACACACCACTTTGGGATCTGAAGCTACAATAACCTGAAGATCACAGAGGAAGAAGCATTGGCAATCCATTAACAAAGAAGGTTGCTTCCAAGACCTCAAGTTAGAAATACTAAATCTATTATTCCATATATTACATCTCAGTAGTCTTTCACATAAAAACAAATTGAAAATTGGATAGACTAAGATTTCTCAAGCAGTGAGAGTTTGTTGCAGACAAACTCCAGCTCCAGAAGCAGTGAGCACCCAGGGAAGTCTTCACCTAGGACTTAGCACCTCAGAATGGTAGTTTGGACACGAGACATCATCCAACAGTTTACAGCTTGCACAGTGAAAGGCGTCTGCTCGGTAAACAGAGACAGAGCACATACACCTTGCAAGTATTGTTCTAGGTGGTGGGGCTATCAGTCAACAAAAGAGAAGGAAAAAAAGATCACTTATCCTCATGAAGCTTAGAGATGAAAAAAAAAGACAGGTAATAAAAAATAAACATAATGTGTAAATGGTATGGTATGCTAAAGGGTGATAAAAATTCTGTGGAATAACAGAGTAAGGGGATTTGGGTACACATATCCTGACAGTGTTCCTAGCTTCTCTGAACGTGATGCTGTAACACCTGCCTACCTGTACAAGCTGCGCAGGTGTCGTCCTGGGCAACTCAGTAATATTCGTGGCCTCCCAGCTCCCTCACGACGCTTCCCAGCTCCTCAGAAGGAACAATCCTTCTAAGGGCATGCTTTTCAAATAAAAACCAATCAAGTCATAGTCCACACTTTCCAACAATTCCTATCAATTTTCATTCCCTAGATGACTATAAACTGGATCTAATCATCCTGCAGCCAGGTACCAGCCAACAAGGCAGGGCCCTTGTGTCCCAGAGTGTGCTAAAATTATTCAACCTAACAAGCCTATAAGCCTGCTTGCCCTGTCTGTGCCTTCCCTCAGAGACCACAGTAAAGGCTCTCACCCACAATTATACCTCCCTCGGGTAGTAACTAACCCCAGTGCTGCCTCCATGCCCCCCCATAGTATGGCACGAGCCCTCCTTTTGAGAACTGCAAAAAATGACATTTTCAGTAGCCATCATTCCGACCTGTTGGCCCACCTATGACTCAAGTCTTGTATTAAAACATTATATTTTAAAACAACAGGTATGGAGTAGTGGGCTGGGTGATCGGGGTAGGACTATAGGTGACAGTGGCATTTGATGGAAGACTTCAAAGAGGATTAGGGGCTCCTGTGGACAAGTGAGAGAAGCGGGGCAGCTTGGAAAAGGTCCACAATACTGGGTCAAAGATAGACGCAGTGGCAGTAGAAAGGAAGAGGAGACAAGTCTGGGAGTCATTTTCAAGGTACAAGAAAGTGTTGAATGATGGATAAACATTTGTTGTGGAAGACACAGAAGTCTGTAGCAGAAGGTGGAGAGAATGGCCGTCTCTTCACTTGAGCGTAAATGCATCCGAGAAGAAAAACTGTTGAGAGGACAGTAATAGGACATGTTACGTCTGAGAAAAGGGTGATGTTTGAAACTCAAGAGAATACTTGGATTCTTGAAGAGGAAGGGGAAGAGGGGAGAGAGGAGGAGGTTATGTGTGTGTGTGTGCTGCACACACACACACACACACGCACATGCACACACACACACAACCTCCTGCAGGAAAGTCAAAAGATTAAGAACAAAAGAGGCCACTGGATGGACAATTAGGAAGTGGGTGGTAACCTTGATAAAATGAAAAAGAAAAAGAAAATAAGAAACGTTGGCAGGAAGAAGTAACAGCTGGGCAAAATCCAGACCAAAGGAATTAGAAATGTAAAGATTTAGTATGTGTAGACTATTCAAAATATTATTTTTCCTCCTCTTTGTTTTCCAGGCTCCTAAGCATTCTCTTATGGAATTTCCTCTATTTTCTGTACCAGTCCTCAGGCTTCATTCTGAAAATATACTTCTGGCCTCTACCTACGAGATCAGGCAACAGTGGATTGTTTCACTTGCCTATTTTATGGCTTTCCGGCACTTTAATCAAAAACATGATCAAAAAAATCACAATCCAAAATAATTACTGAATTTTATTGTAGTTTAAATCTTCATTCTATTTTGGATCATACCCTCTTTATTCATCCCAAATATTATGTTTTTCTAGATTGATTACTGCAAAGCTTTGTTTTAATTACATCAAAGAAAGAACTTTTTTTAAAGATTTATTTTTATTTATGTATAAAAGAACCGGGGTGTAGGCCAGAGATGCAGGCTAGTAAGAGGATTCACCAGAGACAGAGTGGGGAGCAAAACAGGAGGACTGACTGAAATACACTGCTGAGGGGAGCAGCGGGGAGACAGGAGAGGTCTGCTGTGCCATGTGGGTCAGCTCCCTGGCCAGGGATCGAACTCATGCTGCAGTGGCTGGCAATAGCTTGATAGTGCTGAGACCTTAAGCCCTGTGCCACCAGGAAGGTCTGAAAGAAAGAATTTTGAGTTTTTTTCTTATTATTGCATATTTCTCTCATTTCATTAATTTCTTCATTCTATTTTCTTTGACTATTCTATATTTCTTTTTCAAGTTTTATTTGGTTGGGTGCTTGAAAATTGAAAAAAAAAACCCTTCATTTTTTTTTTTTTTTCATTTCACATTACCTATTTCTCTTCCTGTAATTCTTAAAATACCAACAAGTTTGGATGTATAGCAATGTATTGTTAAGTTCCAAAGAAAATAAAAACAAAAGAATTTTCTATTCAGGCCTTTCCTGGTGGCGCAGCAGGTTGAGCACAGTACTGTTAAGCTGTCTGCAGCCTCTGCCGTGCAGGTTCTATTCCCAGATGGCCAGGGAGATTCCCACATGGCGCGGCAGACCTCTCCTGTCTCGCCTACTGCTCCCCTCAGCAGTGTATTTCACTCAGTCTGCCTGTTCTGTTCCCCACTCTGTCTCTGGTGAATCCTCTCACCCTTCTGCACCTCTGGCCTATACCCCAGCTCTTGTATGCATACTAAATCTTTAAAAAAATAATTAATTAAAATAAATTAAAATTTTGATTCACTTCAAATGGGGGCTACAGAGGCCTGTGCGCAACTATGCAGTGTTCCATTAGAATGCCTTCAGAGAATTTAGAAAACATTTTGCATTCTAGGTCTGTCCCTATCAGCAAACCATGGAGAAAGTCCCAACTTCTTGAACTACGTTTTTAAATCAAACACTTGTAAAACTTTGCCAAATTTGTGACAACTTGCAAAAGCAATATCGCTTCAGATTTATAATGTGATTTACTGATGGTTCTCTGACCCTGCTCCAACTTACCCACCACCACATGAGGCAGCCCGTGTCCCCTGGACCTGGGAGGTAAGAGTTTAGGGAAGTGGGTAGGGAGGTAAGTGAGCAGATGCCTGTCACTACAGACACCTGCTTTGTCTCTGAATTCCTGTAGGAATCAGCCCAGCACCTCTCCCTGGGCAGGCATCATTTTCACTCTGATATTGAAGGTATTTGTATGTGGCTGACAATTTCATGTCCCAGTAGGTAGAGGAAATGACTATAGAAAAGAGCTTATATTTGACCAAGGAGGAGGAATTGGTTGGTGAAGTAGATGTGACAGGAACCTGGGAAGAAAATGACCCTCTTCTATATGTGCTGTTCTCATTTCTATGACAATCAATTTCAAACAGTCGATCTCAACACCCCCAAAAGCACATGGGTATTTGCCAGGTCATATTTCCTGATTTGAGTTTCAGAAAACTTGGTCTCATACTGTGTTCATTTCCTTTCTCGGTGTATTGGGAGGCCTTCTCACACTAAAGAGCCGAATGCGATGACGGAGTAGGTACTCAGTGAATTTGTTTTATTAAATAATGAAAATTCAGAACTAGGAAGGGGTTGTGACTATGAAAACATGTAAAAGAAGACTGCAGAGTCTCTGCATAACTTGAACATCTCCTTTTGTTCTGCACTAAATCTTAAGGCAAAACAATCAACATCTACTGAGTTTGACAATTCCATTCAAACTAGAAAAGAGAGCTATCATCTCTAGCACTGAGGTGCCAAGCAATGCACTCAGTGCTTTCTGTACATAATCTCATTTAACCTTCAAAATAACTCTACATGATGGCAATTTGAATTTTTCACATTACAAAGAGAAAGCTAAAGTTGATGGAGGGTAAGCAAAGCCAGGGCTGGAAGACCAAGAACCCTGCATGTCTGTTGCCATACTTCATTTCTCCATCACTGATGGGTTGTCTCCTCCCCTGACTTATGAATTCTCTCAGGATAGAAACAGCATCCTGCTCTTTGCAAGCCAGCACCTAGCATTAAGTAGGTGGAATAAACTCTCAGCAAATGCATTGTGAGTAAGCGTAGAGGGAATGATTGTATCAGGTCATTTAAATGCCTCTCTGTAATCATTATATTGACTCAGTTAAAAATTGTCTTGTAACATAGTTTTTTAAATCCTTTTTTAGACGCTGACCACATCCCTCATGCCTACTACTATTCTTGTCTCAAAATTGAGGCACTGAAGACTGCCTTTGGGACTTCCTGAGGGAACCTCTAAAATCAATTCCCTACAAGAAAGTGTTTGAAGCTGAAGGTCAACACAAACATAAATTCAAGGTAACTTTAAAATCACTGAAATAAACCCTTTCTTTTGCTAGTCTTTTCAAAACAAATTTCCTTTCTCAGAATTGGAGAAGCCACATCCATGTCCTAATCATTCATGTCATTCTAATATCAGGGCTTCCAAATCTGTTGAGAGAGAAACACTTTGTGATATTCTAACTGTGGCACACCAGGGTACTGTGTCACAGTACCCAATATTGAAGCCTCTGGCTCTTTGACTTGGGTTGCTACAAAGAAGAACTAAATCAATAAATAAATAACTTAAAAATGTGCAACTCCACTACCAGCTCCCATCTATCTATGGAAGTGTGGCTGGCTAAGTGGGACACAGAACCCTCTGCCATCTTCCAAGGAAAAATCCAGCCATGTCTGTAGCCTATCGTATTTGGATTTGTGTTCTAACAACATGATGTGTCCTCGGACACTGTGAGGCTTAGCTCTGGGGAAGCTGAAAGAAATTATGTAAACTTCTGTTTATACTTTCCAATTTGGAAAGTTCCCCATTGACACCGAGAAGGAGAGGGAATAAGGGGGTTCACAGTATTTAAATGCTCTGGCACAGAAGAGCCACCCATCAATTTCACCCACAGAAATCGATGGCTACAACTAACCACAAGGGAGCAATAAATCCCCCAACAAATCTAGAAGCAAGGGGAACCAGATATGCAGGAAGAAGAGCGATGCCTCCAACTCCAACATTATAAAACAGACATGTAGATTGAAAAAAATTCCTTCAAAGATACCATCAATGGAAAGTACTACAAAGTTCAATCACAAGATACACAAACACATACAAAAAAAAAAAATTAGAGCTGTTATTCTTCCTATTCATACTACAAGTTGTCTATTAGTAAAATAAACAGCAACTTACAAAATGTAATGAAAAGCCAGGTGTCCAAACACACATTACCAAGACAACTCTGGTCTTTGGCAAGGAGTCTCCTTTCAAGGATATGGTGCCTGTTATATTAGCTGGTGAGAGAGCCTGTTTAGATGATTTATTTTTTTTAAGATTTATTTATTTATACAGGAAATGGGGTACAGGCCAGAGGCGCAGGAGGGTGAGAGGATTCACCAGAAATAGAATGGGGAACAGAACAGGCAGACTGACTGAAATATACTCCTGAGGGGAGCAGCGGGCGAGACAGGAGAGGTCTACCGCGCCATGTGGGTTGCTCCGAGGCTGGCCAGGATGGAACCAGTGCGGCAGAGACTGCAGACAGCTTCACAGTGCAGCGCTCAACCACCTGTGCCACCAGGGAGGCCCCGTTTAGATGGTTTATACAGTAACATCTACCACTAAGCAAATAACAAAACCAGAAGGCTGTGTAGCTGCCAGCCCTCGCCCTGCGCATATGTGTGCATATGTATGGAGGTGCCCACAGGTGTGTTCATACGAATATTGCAAAAGCCATGTGCAACATAAACACGCGTGTGTGAATAAACCTCCAAATCTGAAACCTGGGCCTGTGAAGAATGGTGTTCCTGAGAAACATTCTACTCGGAATTCTCAAAAATGTGCCGCACTGTGACAGACCAGACATTTGCACCTGAGGAGACAGGCAGGTGCTAGAACATGCAGGACACTTAGACAAGGCTGGGAGCAGTGGAGGGTAGGAAAACCGTGGGAACAAGAAAGTAAACTTCTGACACACGTCATCCAGGCTACCTTTTGCTTAGTTTTTCAGTCACCGTACGAGAAACTGTTACTGAAATGTGAGATTTAGAAAGTGTGTACCTTCCTTTGGAAACATGAAAAGCAGTATCTTGTGCCATTTAAGAGACATTTTATTTTTGATTTGGTCTTTTGAGATCTTTTCATCAATTACATTACTTTCAAGTTGTGAAAGGACATAGTTAAAATGCCAAAGTTAACAAAAGCATTGCATAGTTCTGGTTTTGGGTGATTTTGCAAAGGAATTTTTGCTGGAAAAGGATCTAACCAGGTAGCCTAGATGATTCTGTATAAGACTATTGAAAAAAGGAAAATAGTTAGGTATCTCAAAACAAAATAGATGTGCATTGATATTTTAAAAAGGGGGCATGGTGGCAATGAAGGAGGAGAAATCTAAGAATGTTTCATAAAACTTCCAACACTGAACATTTAAATCACTAAGATGCTCTCATCACACAGATTTGAATTTTTATAATCTGGTTGACAACATGGAAAGAAAGGACAGTGGCAGGAAAGAGGGAGCAAGGGAGGGAGGAAAAGAGAGAGGGAGAAATCTATTGTAGCAGAGATTTGTAGGATGATTCTCCAAAACTGTTTTCAGTAACAATAGCTTGAAGCTGAGCTGCATGGAGATGAACATATCATAGCACGTATCAAACTGTTCTCCAATTCGTTTCCTTTCACTTTCCTTACTTTCTTCAGGATAAAGTCTCAAAGATTTGTTCATGCAAATGCAAACATTGCTAAGATATCCATATCTTTTAAAATACATTTTTGCAACTTTATTTCCTTTTGACTAGACTCATCTGGACAGCATACCACCAGGCTGACTAATCCATTGGATTATTCCTAATTGGAGTGACTGAGCATTCCTAAATTAAAACTAAAATTATGACTAATAGGAGGCCCTGTGGACCCAGCTGTTAGCCAAATGAGACAGGCCATTTGATTTTTCATTTCCCCAAGATTTGTGAACATGGGTGGTGTTAATTATAAATTCAAGTCTATTATTTTGGAAACATTCTCATTATATTTAGTGTTAGCGGAATATTCTATACTTCTTTACACAAATTTAGATAAGAAGCTAAGAAACAGCTTAATAAAGGAGAAATAACAGAATCAAAGTTGTGAGGACTCAAAATTAGCAAAAATAGAAGCTTGTCTTCCTTGCACTGCTTGTTTTAGAAGCTTAACTCTCCAAAGCAGGCAATTTTTTGTCAAGTCCCCAAGAACTGGAATAACAGTTTCTCTTTTCATTTTGCCAATACGAATATGAAGGTGAGACAACCCATTAACCTGGCAAACAGAAACAGCATCCTGTATCCTAGCAGCTTTGGGGTGGTGGGGATATCTGCCTTGCAGAGTAGAAAAGAGGAGGTGATGACATCATCTATTTCCTTTCTTATTGGAAACCCCATCTTTTAGGCTAAGACAGGATTTTTGTTTGTTGGTTTTTAAATAAGCCACTGTTGTGTGCTCTGATATGTGTATTACTCTTCAGATGACCTTTAAACTTGGGTTTTTTATACATCAAGAAGCTGCTACAAATAATACTTTAATTGTGAGGTAAGAAATGGAAACTGGAAGTCAAACAACTTGGACTGATTTTTTTTTTTTTTTTTGATCTCAGGATGATTTCTATTCACATCATAAGAAAAGTATTATCTGGCATTTCCCAGCTAACTCCTAAGCATGGCCTCAGGTAGGGAAGGTCAGAGGCTCCTGAAGGCAGAAGAAACACTGAGATTAGCAAATACAGCCCCACCCCAAAAGGTTCTTGGGCCAGAATCTGCTGTGGTGCATACTAAAAAGGGGTACTCTGTGTCAGGGTGCTACAGGGCCCACTGTCAGCCTGCTCTTTAGCATCTGAGAAAGATCTAATTACCTTTCACATGTCAGTTCTTCGAATACTGAAGGATGATATTGTATTGCTGCTGATAATTTTCTTTCTAAATAATCAGTGTCCTAATACAGTTAAATATCTGATAGAAAATGTGCAGATGGCCATTATTTCTCAAATTAGATTTAAAATGGAAGAAAGAGATTGGTATCAGGGGAGTTATTGGTCAGAATTTATCAATCTTCGTTTCTAGGAGACTAAAAATTAAATAGATTAAATTGAATAATGCATTCAAAACACATAGCAAAGTAAAGCCGCGCTGTAGTCATGGTGGTGGCAGATGGGACAGCAATGTTGGGCAAGTGGTTGTGGAGGTGACGGTGCTATTATACATAGGGCTCTACAAAGTTGCCCTCCTCCTTTCTTGCCTCCCTCCTTTTCTTCCCTCTTTTTTTCCCCTCTCTTATACCTTCCCTTCCTTTTTCCTTCCCTCTTTTGCAGGGGGCCTCTCTGGTGGCCTAGGCCATCATAACAGCCTGAGTTCGATCCCCGGCCAGGGAGCTAACCCACATGGCGCAGCAGACCTCTCCTGTCTCTCCCGCTGCTCCCCTCAGCAGTGTGTTTCAGTCAGTCTGCCTGTTCTGTTCCCCACTCTGTCTCTAGTGAATCCTCTCACCCTCCCGCACCTCTGGCCTACACCCCAGTTCTTTTATACAAAAATCAATACCATCTTTAAAAAAAATCACATATGCAAATGGGAACAAATGAAAGAACACAGAATATCTTTATTTTTAAAAAAAGCAAACCTCCCTTTTACACACCCTACCAAACACCAAGTTCAGTTACACGACCGCGTTCATCTCCATTCTGTTCTCCAGCAGGATTCCAGTGTTCCAAGCATCACCCACAAACGGCTCACAAAAGGTGAGAGGCAAATGCAGAACACCTGGGGATCACATGGCAAAGGCAGGGAGGGAAGAGGGAAGTGCTGCTGGGACCCTGTGCAGAGAAGGGGTCCAACTCTGCCCCCTGCTGCCTGGAACTGCCCAAGCCTACTAGTAAGACTCCTGAGCAGAGCCCTGGTCTGCTAGTCCTGAGAGGGATGGTTGCTGGGAAGGGGATGGAGAAGAGAGGCCATCTGGGGGAGCCTGCTCTTGTCATTGCACAACGTTGTCTTCCCAAAGACTCAAAGGCAAGTGAAATTTATTGAATGAGGTGTTACCACTTCTGATTGCAATGAGAATTATAGTGTCCTTGCTATGTGGCAGCTGAGAACATTACTGCCTGTGCAGATCTGCCTTGAGGAAAACAGAAGGATGAGCGGGCCAAAAAATTTTAGCCAAGTACATCTTTTTAAATCCACCAGTTATTTCAAAGGCATAGGAGAGGCTGATGATATGACCCATTGGTGCAATTGTCCCACCAATGAACCCTTAGTCTATCTTGCCAATTTCAGCCCTATAGGTCCAATGGTAATCCCTAAGAATTAGCCAAGAGCTGTTGACAGCTGCACCAGGCAGACTAGTTGTACCTGCATACACAACTTCTGACATATGTCTAAGCTTCCGTGTCTTGTCTACTTTTCCATCTTCCAAAAATATGTGGAAACCGCTTGTTCATTTGTGACAGGCATGCTCATAGACCTGTCCTAACTCCCTTTAATATTATTATGGGAAGGAGTTCAAAAAGAACTAAGGACTCATTTCTCAAGAGTTTAAAGTAAATATATGCAACTCTCTTCCTGGGATACCTGAAGACACTCTCAAGGGTTTGAGCCAGTCCTAAGAAATGTTGACATTCTGCCAAACCAAGTTATTCCACAAATCCTTTCTTTGGATTTTTGTCCTTGCTTTCTAAAATTCTGGAGGAAAAAAAAAACTCTCTGTGGACAACAAATTCTCTTTTTGTCTTTGTACTCTAGTCACTATAAACAACCAAAAAAGATATAAAGATAGTTTTTATACGGATAAGTCCTTTCTAATATCCACATATGGATTCCTTGACTGCCATACAAATCACACTGAATGTTTATTCTAGACACAAAAGATGCAAACTGGAGTTTACAAGTGATGTTTCACTCATAAGCACAACACCACTATCTTTTACAAGGACATCTGCATAAAAATACTCCTAAAGTAGGTGGTGCTATAGCAACCTTGTATGCCTTTCAACACAGGATGCCTAAGGGTGCAAACCCCTAAACTGATGGTTCTCTTGGTACTGACTGTAGCAAAGTTGAAAGAGAATATTTTTTTTTCCTTAACAAGGTATTTATTCTCAAGGTCATGGATCTAGAGCTTTAGAGTCTAATTTGAATCTTGCATCAAGCTCGGCATGCAGTAAAAAATCATTTCAAGTAGCAATTGTATTTCTCAGCTTTGATGCTACTTTTGAATTTGCATCATCAAGCCCTTATTTCATTTCACATCCTTTCAAAGTTGACTTGGTAACAGTTCTTGCTATGAGCAACCTATCTAAGGGAATCATGGAGGAAGGCCAGAAATCAGACCATTATTAAGAATTATGATACCCAAAAATATTTATTGAGTGCCCAATAGGTGTCAGGCAAAATGCTAAACTCTTTGCATAAATTATCTTATGATAGCTTTATGAAAACCTTATCAGTTGGATGAGGAAGGAATAAAGAAGGGAGGGAGGGAAGGAAGATGGAGATATTTCTACCAAAGTTGTAGCTCCTCAGCAAATATTAATGCTGTTTATTGATTCAATAAAAAATAATTTAATATTCATTGTATCTGTTCTTCTATGTAATAAATATTTATTGACACGATCGGGTGTCAAATACTAGGAAACTCCAATGTGCAAGGGAGACAAGCCTTCTTCTTCATGACTGAGACATGCAAGTGAGCAAAGATGATAATAAACTGGATAATTGTGAGCAGATAGAAGGGATCGCTGATCCAGGTTGCAGAAGGGCTAGGGAAGAAAAGTTAGAAGGGTGATGTCTAAGCTAAAGTAAGCAACTTTTTTTTTAATAATAAATTTTATGTTTATATTCCCCATACAATTACAACCCCCCCATTCTGACCCCAATCCCTCCCCTCCCGCCCCCCACCCACCAAAAAGTGTCTCTGGTTCATAGTTTTTTGTTGATTTTGATTTTCACTTTCTTATAGTTATTCATTTTCCTGCTGTCTTATTTAAATTTTCTAGATTCCTGCTATGAGTGAGACCATCCGGTATTTTTCTTTTTCTTTCTGGCTTATTTCGCTGAGCATGATCCCTTCCAGTGCCATCCATGTTGCTGCAAAATGCATGTGTTTATCTTTTTTGAATGCTGAGTAATATTCCACGGTGTATATGTACCACATCTTCTTGATCCAGTCATCTATTTTTGGGCATTTGGGCTGTTTCCAAAGCTTAGCTATTGTAAATAGAGCTGCTATAAACATAGGGGTGCAGGTGCTCTTTGGAATTGATGTTTCTGTGTCCTTTGGGTAAATACCTAGGAGTGGAATTGCTGGATCATATGGAAGCTCCATGTTTAGTAGGTCCAGAAATCTCCACACAGCTCTCCATAGTGGTTGGACCAGTTTGCTAAAGTAAGCAACTTTTTGCCAGGATATGATAAAAATGTCCCAGCCTCATCTCCCCCCAGGACAGAGGGAGCAACAGTGGTTACAAAAACTCAAGCATCAGGCTGGGGTGGATGTTCAGTGGAGGGAGTGGCTAGAGATAAAACCTGAGCAAGTTAACGGGTCATCCTGGAAAGCATTCATAGTTTGCTAAAGGGAAAGCTTTGGGGATGGATCAATTTTTAGAAACATGACACAGACGTAGCAGAGCAGTGGTTTGAATGCAAGTGTTCATGAGGCTCTGGCAGAATCCTAGCCTTTTGCTGCTCTCGGAGGGGTCCTCAGTCCAGCACAGGGGTGGCCCCTTTTAGCTTTGCAGGAATGCAGGGTCTCAGACCTCACCTTGGAATTAGAGTCAGCACTCACATCTTGGCAAGTTCTCCAGGTAATGCGTACGTACTGGTGTTCGGGATGTGCTGTGCGACAGCACACAGCAGTAATTCTGAAAATGGAGGAGGGGCGGGGGCAAAGGCATCATCTGGGAAACTTGAGTGAAGCCCCGGTCTCACCCCCCGGAGACTCTGATTTATTTGCACAAAACAATGGTTCCCAAGTTTTGCAAAGCATGAGAAACACCTGATGCCAAGGGGCATCCCGACTGATTAAAATCAGATGAGAAAGTTATTTCTACATCAGAGAGATGTGTAAGTGACAGAAGATGGACAGGATTCGATGATTCACAGGACAAAAAGGGGAGTGTGACTCCCCTTTCTGAGAAAAAACTGGGACACCGTCTAGAGCCCAGCCTGACAAACTGGGAGAAGACAGCTGGCAGCCTTCGCCCCGAGTCCACTAAGCCCAGCTGCAGTCTCCCCAGAAAGGCACATTTGTTAAGCCCTGTGGCAACAGCAGAGGGCGTCTGAATATGTGTTGACAGGCAGAGTCCTAATGAGGAAGTAGAATTCTATCGATAAATGATGAAATGGATTTCCCCAATATGCAGAAACATCTCTTTTCATTTCCTGTGCAAAACCTTAAACTATTTCCTGCAGAATTAGCCCAACTATAGCAAGGGATATAGCCCCGTGGCAGCTTGAGATCATCAAGGAACTGACCACATGGAACACTCAGTCTTTCCTCACATGATCCCATCAGACTATGGCTCCTGTAGGAGGAGCCCAAGGCTCTGCAGCCCAAGGCTCGTATGCACAGTAGGTGATCCGTAATGCCAGGTATCTTGCATCACTATAAAACTTTAAGGGTACATTTGCACACCTCCATGTGTGCACATTTACTCACCTTCCACCAAAACTCCTGTGCCAAAGGGCTTTCTTCTCCTTTCTTTCCCTGCTCCTCCCTCCCCCAATCTCTCTGGAAATCAGTATATTTTTCACAGATTCTAAGGATTGTTTTGCTGTGCTTTGCCAGTATGTGCTCCTTGGTTATTTAAATTCCACACATAAGTGAAACCATCCAATGTCTGTCTTTCACTTTCTGATTATTTCACTGAACATAATCACCTCCAGATCCATTTGTTTTCTCCCAAAAGGCATGATTTCACCTTTTTTAATAGCTTAGCAGTATTCCAGTGAGTATATGTTCCATAATTTCTGTTGATGAACCTCTATGTTGGTTCCATGACTTGGCTATTGTGAACACAGGCGTGCATCTATCTTTTCATATTAGAGTTTTCATATTCTGTGGCTAAATATCTAGCAATGGTCTTGCTGGGCCATATGGTATTTCCATTTTTTTTTTTTTAAGGTCTCCCCATACTGTTTTCCATAGAGACTGCACCAAATTACATTCCATAACCATGGATGAGAGTTCCTTTCTCCCCACATCCTCATCAACATCTGTTGTTTCCAGTCTTTTTGATATAAGCCATTCTCACAGCTGTGAGGTGGTATCTCATTGTGGTTTCCATTTGCATTTCCCTGATGGTAAATGATGCTGATCCTTTTTCTCATGTGCCTAAAGATCATCTGAATGCATTCTTCTTCGGAGAAACTATTGAGGTCTTTTGCCCATGTTTGGACTGGGTCGTTTGTTTTTCTGTTGTTCTTGAGTTGTATGAGTTCTTTATATATTTTGGAAATTAACCCCTTGTCAGACATGTGACGTGCAAATATCTTCTCCCAATTCAGAATGCTATTTGGATGAAGGCATGGAGGGCCCATGAATAAAATATAGTTTTACACACAGGATCATAAATTCTCTTTGATATGGCTGCTTCAAAAACACATTTTCCCCTAAACTGTTTGAGTCTTTGCTCTCTAGCCACAGCTTCTCATGGAGAGCTGACAGGCAGCCATTGCCAATTAATGCTGAACACATTCATTGGTCCGGGGGGATATTATTTCTGATTAAGAATTAACACACTTTGGCATGAAGCTGTCAATGTCAATCGGTTTAAATCATACTGAAATGTCAAACCACTTAGCAGATGGCTTATCCATATCTAATGCTGCAAAGGCAGGGCAAAGCTCTCCCAGAGAGGAACAATCCCAGCGCACAGCCAGAGCCCTTAAAGGGACAGCCCCCTCTGGAAACGGCCACAGCAAGTCCTCTGTGAAGCGGCCAGTGCACGCCCTCCCGTCAGGACATAAATATAAATGGTGAGCAGCCCTGTATAGCAGGTCATGCCCCAGACTGCAGCAGTGCCTGGCCCGCAGCAGCAGGCCTAGATGCTGCCCAAAGGAAGGGGCTCAGCCTTATGCTGCAGCAGAAATATCCACACCACACACCACACTCCCCCCTAGGCGGCGTGGGTTTGTGCTGTAGTTTGTTTTAAGATCCAGTCAGAGAGTTTAGAAGACAAGTTCTAAAATTTTGGTTTTGGGGGATTTTTTTTTAAAGATTTATTTCTTGATTGCATACAAGAACTGGGGTATAGGCTAGAGGTGGGGGGGAGTGGGCAAGAGGATTCACCAGAGACAGAGTGGGTTGCAGAACAGGCAGATCTACTGAAATACACTCCTGAGGGGAGCAGAGGGCGAGTCAGGAGAGGTCTGCTGTGCCATGCGGGTTGCTCCCTGGCCAGCTGGGGGATGGACCTCATGTTGCAGTGGCTGGCCATAGCTCGACGGCGCTGTCTTTAACCCCTGGGCCACCAGGGGGGTCAAATTCTAAAATTTTGATAGTAAAGAAAGATTTAAACCATCCTTGGTGAAAAAACTCACTACTTGTGCAATAGGATCATCAGAACAGTGCCACCAACCTCTCCTGAGACCAAGGACTCTCCTCCACCCCAGCAGAAGCCCCGCGGGCACAGGAACAGCAGCACAGGAAAAATCTTTAAGAAACTGCATGTTTGCATATAAAGGAGCCTCTGAGTCCAGATTTTAGTCATGAAAACAATGTTATGTCCCTAGTAAAAGACACTAAGTAACACTTCTAGAGCATTTACCAGAAGTCAGGCTGTGTTAAGTCATCAGCACCTATTTTTCACAAGAAACCCGTGGGGCTGGCGCTCTCCCTACCCCATTTCACAGATGAGGAAGGTGAGGCTGGGAAAAATCAAGCAATCTGCCTCAAGTCACACAACCAAAAAGGGGGAGATGAGACTTAGACTGAGCAAAACACCAAAATGATAAGATGAGGCAGTAGGTGCAGAACGAGTCTGGTCTTCAGGTACGTCCAAGCAGGAGGAGTCTTAAGAGAATGGTCTCTCTGAACGGGCACACCATCAGCCAGCCCTGAAGGACACACCCGCCAGCCAGTGCCCTCCTGGCGCTTGGGGTCCTTTCCCGGCAGGAGGGCAGTGGGTGCAGGGGCAAGCTCTGCTCTCCCGGAGCCTGGCCTCTCGCGAGCAGGGAAGGGCAGCGGCTCGTCCGTGGACACGCATGACTGTGGCAGGTGTTCTGATCAGAGCAAGCAGGCAGGTCATAGAAACTCAGCTACGTGGAGTTGAGGGGTGCAGAGTCTCTGAACCAGGGACATCTGGGCTGACATCTCCGTGGGCAGAAAGAGACAGCACCTGAAGATCCAGGAAAAGAGAGGCTGGGCCTAAGGAACTGAAGCTGCAGGATTTCTGCACCTGAGGACGGCCTGGAGTCAAGGAGAAATAATGTGTGCGTGGCAAGGAAGGAAAGGTACAGAAGGGAGGGTGGAAAGCAGCAACTGCAGCGCGGGTCCCGCTGGCGTGGCCTGGAACAGCAGCCACAGGGGAGAGCCACGGGCGAGCCCCAGCCATGGAACCCAGCGCCTCCTCGCAGATCCCAGAGCCCTCTGATCTCCTTCAGGACCTGCTGGGGTGTTCTCATCCAGAGTGCTGGAGTGGATTCCCAAACTTAGGTTTATTTTAATTACTTTTAATCAGGTTTCTATTTTTTACCTACCCATAAACCCTTGCTTTTTTTCTTGTCTAAATAAAAGAGGCTACCAGAACAACATGGCAAACCTAGTGGAAAAAAGCCTTGTCCCAGGTGATACAACATCCTGGGACATCCTGTTCTCCAATGAGGTCCAAACCACCACCTCTTTCATGGATACCTCCATTCATTTCCCCTTCCTTCCTTCCATTTAATAAAAACTGATTTCAGAACCTATTAGATGTCAGAAACTGTGCTTAAAATATAGAAATAGATCCTTGAATTGATTACAGCCAGCTAAGGTCAGATAAAATCTAAGCAGTCCAAATGCAAAGTGACAGCTGTCAGGCAGATGTAAGAAGAGAATGCTAGGGGGGTGCAAGGGAGCCTCACCCAGCCTCTGGGGGCAGAAAACACCTTCCAGAGAGAGGTCAGCGGGAGACAGGAGGTGGGGTAGGAGTCTGTAGGAAGAGCTCCACACAAATGACTATGTTCCATCCCCCATGAAACCACCCCCTATCTGACCTATCTGACCAATAAAAAGCTGGAAATAACCTATAAAAATCCAATCAAAAGCTGGAAATAACCTATGTTTCCTATGTTTCCTTCACCTTGAAAGCCTTGCAGATAATAATTTTCAACTACATTGGTTTTTCAGGTTTTCATACTTTTTTCCTAAAGATACACACCCATCCACTGTATACACCATATAAATATCACTCAGTGCTTTACGACTTCCTTTGCCCATTGAGAATTTTCAGGAATGCTCACACTGTCTCCATTTGACACATTGTTCTATGTGGGTCTGCCTGGCATCTGGTTTTTTCACGTATGTGATCATGTATTCACAAGCTCACTGGCAGAAAAATAGCAATACAGCTGAAAAGTGGATATGGAAGTGGCCAGGTCTCCCCCAAACCAGGCACTCTGCTTGTCCTCCTCAGGGCTCACCTATTCTTAATGTCTCAGTGCATTATCCCAGAAATACTGTGTGTGTGTGTGTGTGTGTGTGTGTGTTTGTGTTTTCACCATACTCTGAAAGTCATGCTGCTCTCGGGGCCCCTGCAGGATGGACACCCCACTTCTGCTGTGCTGACCCTCCACTCTGGGAAGAGATGTGGAAGAGGAGCGTACCAGTTGGCTGGCTGTTCATCACACTGGACTCAAGCAAGCTTCTAGTCAACATGGCGTGATCCCAATAAATGCCAGTTGGAAAAGATTTGCATTTTCTGATGTGAAATTTCATTAATGGAGGAGGAATGGACAAAGGAGTGATAGAAATGTTCTTGGTGTTAATGTTGCAAGGAGGATGCAGTATTTTCTTGTAAATTATTCACTCTCTCAAGCCCAGTTATTCAGAGAACGCATTCTGATGGGGCACAGAAAACCCAGGAGACATGCAGGTGGAGCGTTTATTTGATTCGCCACCTGCCACAAAGAAACCAATACTGTATTCTCTAGCACAACACAGTCAACTGTACATGCTTCAGGGCTGTGAGTGATTCTAGCTCCTGGTTCCATTAAATGTTACAGTAAATGAGGCATGAATTCATAGGGATTATTTATTTACTTTGAAGTGAATCTGTGATCTGTGAATGACCCTATTACTAGTTAATAAGAGGAAAGAGGTACTTGCTGCTAAAATGAAAGGAAAAGCATATAACAAGTTCAACATCCAGTTCTCTCAACACTGCTCCCTCCCCACCTCACACACACACACAGGCTCATGTCAATGACACTGGCAGGGAGATATGCAGAGCAAAACTACTAACCACATAGCAGAGAAGAGAAAATTGATGCCCTTAGACTTGGACAACTGACTTGGCGAATTTCACCTGAAAAGTTAGTAAGCAAGCTGGAGCCAGAGGGACTTTTTATCTAGGGAGTCCAAGTTATAAAATATTGAATAATTATGCAAGCTTAGTTGGGGTGTAATCGTAAAAAGGAATTTATAAAAGCAATTGATAAACCAATATAAGAGGAGTATTTGGGACACTATTCGCAGTACTTATTCAGAGCAAGAAAGGATGAACTAGGGGCATTAAAAAACTTGGTTCAACTCATGCCTCTGCAGAGGGGGAGCATTCAAGTACTATCTTTTGCTGGTAAATTCTGTTTGGGTCCCACAAATGTGTTATACTATCACACCTGCAATTTCAAATCATTTGAAGTCTGTGTTGCTCTATCGCCGCCACCATATGACATAAGAAGGCTTTGCACACTTACCTCCCAACGCAGAAACCTCAAATAACCAGTAGTTTAAAACTACAGTCACACTATTGGGAGCATTAGCAGCTACTCCAAATAATAAACCCCCGGCCTCCCTAGCCTCTCTAACTGTTCTATCTAAACAATCACATCCTGTCCCCTCTGAAACCCACCCCACTGTAGAAGCTAGCTGTTTCTGCCTTTGGGATCAGATTTTACAGAAGATTCGAGAGTGGTTTTCTACATCTGACCACGAGGGGGCAGTCTTGCCATTGGCATTGAAAGGCCCCAGACCCAGCAGTTCGGATGAGCGTGTACCACCAATTAACTCAGAAAAACATCCTTTTCTGCCTTCTTCATTGACTTAGAGATGTGCAAAAAAGATAGCAAGCAAGCTGTGTATTTTTTAACAGAGATCTCCGTTTCTACTGTCCAGCTCAACTGGATAGATTTGGATGCATCACTAGCCTAACAAGCCAATTAGTCCCAGTGGCACCAGCTTGGGGGACTTGGAGAGGGGGCGCTTCCACTAGGAGGAAAGCAAACTGGGCTATTTCTAAGCACATGGTGGGCTTCACGTGTCCTTCTCTCTCTATTTGGTTTTCCAACAAGTAAACAGGAAAAAAATGTTTATATTGACATTTTCTCCTTTTTGGTGCAAGTCATATTTTTCTAGCAATAAATCTACAGTGCAACTAGCTTGCAGATCCATACATGCAAACATTTCACCCCACTATGCACAATACAATCTTACTGTGGAGGGAACCAACTCGCTCTCTCACACATACACCCACACCCAAAGCCACATTTTTTCCTGGTATGCTGTAGGGGCCAGAGCCCAGAGGCGTGGGCATGGGGCATGTGTGGCTATGACTGTGGACACATGGGCTGGGAGACCAGGGATAAAAGGGGCGTCACTCTGAGATGGGGCTCCAGCCACCAGACAAGCACTCTAAGGCGAGGCCACCAGAGAGGGCCAGAGCAGTTGCCTGCCCGCCTCCCAGCACCCCTGGCCCTCACATGCCTGCCTCCCTGCCTGGTGGCATGTGCACCTGGTTCCCGGAGAGCACGAAAGGCCTGCAAAAATCCATCCAGGGCTCGGGGACTCTTCCTTCCCTGTCCACCCCAAGGGACAGTAGGCCTGCCCTGTGCAAGCCTGCACTACCTATGCCCAAAGGATTACCTCACTTAATTCTCACAGGAATGCAGGGATCCTTATTGCCACTGTACAGATGGGAAACCAAAGGAGGAAAATTAACCAGACTTCAAGCTCCCACCGGTGGGCAGAGCTGGTGCCTCTGAGACACAGACCCAAAATTTCCTCCTCAGCTTCTCAGTTCACACTCGGATTATTCTCTCCGTCTTTTCAAATCTTTCCTTTTTCAATTTATTCTTATCCAAATTCATTTTGAAATATTTAAATGGAGACATCCCAAAAAGGAAACAGAGAGATGACACTTGCCAAGTGATCCTGGTGTCTTTAAAGGTAAAAGGGAAGACAAGTGTGGGCAAGGGGTGGCGCAAGGGATTAAGCACCACACTATGAAGCAATCCGCAGCCTCTGCAGCATGAGTTCGATCCCTGGCTGGCCAGGGAGTTACCCACATGGCACAGCAGACCTCTCCTGACTCGCCCGCTGCTCCCCTCAGCAGCGTATTTCAGTCAGTCTGCCTGTTCTGTTTCCCACTCTGTCTCTGGTGGATCCTCTCACCCCCTGCGTCTCTGGCCTGTACCCCAGCTCTTGTATGCATAAATAAATAAATCTTTTTTTAAAAAGGGGGGAGGATGAGTTTAACCATGGAGCAGACCAGAAATGGGGCCACACACAGGCACAACGTGAAACGTAAAAAGGTTCTCCACGATGCATATGCACACCCCTCTCCACGAGCACTACCATTACACTACTAATAATGAACAGCTTAAAATGCAAGAATAATACATGTTGATGTATGTCACACTGTCTCCCATCACTTACAGAGCTTCTACTTATTAGCCAGGCATAGTATGAGGCACTTTAAAAAATTAAATCAAATTTAATGTGCACATATAATCATATAGTAATATTTTATTCATACTTAAGAATTTATTCTTCACAGTATTCTGAAGTTTTCCTTTTTTTTTTTCTTTGTTCTGCCTCTAAACATGTAGACCCTCCTGCATCCACACAGAGTACTCCATAGCAAGGATGAATCATAATTAACTTAATAAGCACCTATTGTTTATTTCCTGCCTCTCTGATTATAAGACACGTGTATGGCTGGTTTTCTTTTAATTTAAAAGAACATTTGTTATGCTTATGGCAAGAACAACAACAAAAGACTGAATATGGGTGAAGGGTGGTTAGGTTAGAATGGAGTTGATAAAGTGAAGAGACATGTTATTTTAATGGTTTTGGAAACTACCAGCGGCCTTGAGGCTGCAGCAATGGGGTGGCCATGGACAAGGCTGCCTGATACTGCACGTCAGTTATTCTGGGTGCCAAAAACCTCCATGAGATAAAATAATTCTTATGCTTCAAGTGTTTGCCAATAGGTTTCTCCTCACCTTTCCACAGTTGTTTCCCCAGCTTGTCCGAATATATTCCTTCCTGCCAGGCCATTTGCCACTGCCCAGGAATATGATACATGTGACATCTGGACTGAAGCTGGTTTTCCATCCACAAGCTGGTAATGTGTGTGTGAAGCTCCACTCAACAGAGGCATCCCCTTCACCACTGTTCTTTGGTGCCATCCCCAAGTGGTCCTGAATAGCACTGTGGTTTGTTTTCTACCAGCAGAGCCATATCAGGTCAACCCATTTATGAACCAGTCTGGGTCTCTCCTCCTGTGTCTGGTGGCCACAGGAAATACCCAGCAGACCTCAGGTGAGTGTTTCTCGGCTACCTGGTCATGTAATTTTAATACGCCATTTCCATCATACCATAAACTGCTGCTTTGCCCATCCAGTCTTCCATAACTTTGGGCACTTGATCATTCCCAAGTAACGAGTGACAATTTGGTAGTGTGATATCATTCACACAGTGGACAGCAGGAGGGTCTGACATGTCAGCTGGTTGAGATCTCCACAAGCGATGCCATACCGAGCACAGAACTAACGCAGCTCCAGCATGAAATAGGAAAGGGTTGTTTCTTTCCTGCCCTGTGAAGCAGGCCAGTAAGTGTCAAAATCTGACCCTCCTTCGAGAGGAAGGAGCAGTGGGGCAATCTTGAGTACAGGACAGTGTAACCATCCAAGGCAGGGGTGCTGACACCATTTCCCCCCACCTCCCCACTGCCCCATGCTGGCCTGTTCTAAAAGGAATTAGTTATAACTGAAATTGTAGTTCTGGATAAAAGATTCATGAGGGCACATGAGGCTCCAAAGTTTTATATGGGACACCAAAAGGTCAGGATGCATGACTTAAACTAATCACCCTCGAATGTTCCTGTTTTCTGAGGTCATCAGCAACACCTGTCCCTCATAGCACCCCCTGCCTCCCTCATGCCTGCTTCTCCACCTGCTGGTCTCCCGGTACCTGGCTCCCTGCTTCAGCATTAAATGTGTAGTCACATCTGCCTAAGGCGCTAAGATTCCTTCATCTGTTTGCCCGAATCAACAATGGACCCGCTCTGTTCCTGGGCTGCCCCCTACAACTCCCCAGGGACCTCACTTCCTAACCCTATCACACTGGAGTATGGGTTTGAATATACGAGCTTGGTCGGTGGGAATAAAAGTATTGAGTCTACAACAGAGGAAATAAGAAAATTTAGACTCAACACCAACTAGTGGGCTTCACAATAGTTCCACGAGGAGGTCATGAAAATGGAGATAACTAGGGCCCTGGAGTGAGCAAAGGGACGTAAAGTGTCATGCCCTCATTCTTGCTGTCATTGCCTCTGTCCTCCTGGGCTAAATGCTGGGCACCCCACCAAGACCCCTTGTGACTTCGATGCCATCTCTCACCTCCACTCTCCTGTTTCTGTAACATGAGGAAGATAATAGCTGCTGCCTACT